TGTAATCGTCGACTATCATCGTTAATGGTGTTAACTATGGATATCTGGGGGGAAGGGATTATTAGTAATGTGGGCTATCAGTTTTTTTTTTACAACACGGGGCAAACGAGCATGTGGCTCACCTGATGGCAAGTGACTACCGCCGCTCATGATCATCCGCAACACTAGAAGTATTGCATCTGTACGTTACACATATTGGGCAGTTATTATCCTGAGTTCATTAATCCATTGTTGTTGGGGCTTGAATTTTAAAAATTCCTTTATTATTGTTCACCTGTACTATACAAAAAATCTATCTGCTAAAATTTCAAGATTCTAAATTCAACGGTTTCGAATGTGCTTTAATACTTAAGTCTGTCAGTCATTCTGCATCGTCTTTTATGTATATAGATCAGTAAATATTTATAGCTATGATGTTATAAAATATTATGTTGTGATCGTAAATTATTCGTATCAGAACGTTCGGTATTGAAGCAAATACGAACGATGGTAGTGAATCGACACCTTTATAATTCCAAAGCTTATTCTTTAGCTATCAAAATAAAGGATTACGGACCACTTCTGTGTGGTCGATGTGTATGATTAATGCCCCTAATAATGATTAATATAGTTTGATTATATTGGTAACGTGGAACTAAATAAGAGTAATAACTTGTAACATTTATTGTACCTTGATAATCTGGTATGGTGCACATATTATGAAATTAAATCTATAATTTAATGGGGTTATGTTCTGAATAATAGTGGTTTAAGAAAAAACTTGTACTTATTATTATAATATTAAGTGCAGGTAATAATTTTTCTTGCGATGCGTTAAAATTGGCTCATTATACAAGTAAAAGATTGGGCCTTCAATATTAGGGCCAAACCCATAATTTATAGCCAATTAAAGGAATATGCCAGCCCTTTAATATTTAGATTAGTACTTATAAATTTTATAATTGACTCATTGTCGTCACTTCGGTCTAACCTAATATTATAATGAGTAAATTAATTAATTTGATTTTTGTTGTGTTTAAATCGATGTTTGTGTGTGTAAATCGATAAATAAAAAAAAATACTTGTCTAATTTTAAAATTTCTTTCACCTACTAGTATAGAAAGCACCATTATCAGCCAGTAACATAGTCTATATTTTATTTTATAAAAATATTGTGCGAAATCAAAGCGAGTCGCCAGTCATCAATATAGGCGTAAATTTTAAATTGGACAAACGTACTAATAAAATCACAGGGCAGAAAGAGTCGTCTAATTTTATTAAAAAGCGGTTTCTTTTTCTATCGACGTGTACGATAGTAGGTAAGAATGTATGGGTGATGCCCAGATACTCAATAATTGTACATTGAACACATTTTTTTATTTTAATGCCTATTATCTGCCTTATTGACTAACAGTCAATTCTGTCCATAATCCATAATAAAATGACCTGCTATTTTGGTCTATCACGGTCAAATGAAATTAATGCTTTCAACAAAAACAGTCAAGCATCACAGTCAACATTTAATTAAATAGCTTTTATAAAAAGCTTTGTTAGTGAAGTAGAAATAATGTGGGAACTGTCCAATCAATAGTAAACACTGATGACCGCATTTGAAGGCGATAAATGTGACGCGTGCATATGACGCATGCTGGTCACCCTCTGTTTGTTCGGATTATTTGAAAGGGCCACATTGAATTGTTGGTAATTTTTAGTTCTCTACATCGAATTTAAGCTTTACTTTCTAGGCCACAAGGATCAGGAGTTGCTGGTCGATCGACTACCCATTCATAAGTGGACGGTTAGCGCCAAGTATAGATGTTTTTCAATAGTTAAGCCTCATTATATCGTAGTCCGCGCCTATTTCCATGGATTTGCGGATATGTTCATTGGGTGTGTTCATTGAATTGTCAACGTGGCTTATTCCAGATAATAGGCCTTTATGTTGTCCGATGTAGAAGTTACCGTAAATAGGAGTATAATAAGAAATATTAGCAGTAATAACATTGTTATCGTTTTATTTCGGGATTAAAAGGAAATTGAGTTTTCGCTAGCACTCAACTATATGTATTTTCAAAGACCTTGTCTTAATCGGATTTGCGCAATTTCTCGTGATCCTATATTTTGTGGCTTTAACTATGCTTTGATTTTTTCAGAAAATTTGTAAATTTTTTTAAAATTATTAATTTTTATTAAAAAAAATATTAAAAGTTAGAAGCCTTTGACCGTGTTATCGCAGTTCAGTTGTCGTCAATAGAAAGATTTCATGGATGTTTATTTTTATTTCACGCCTGAATTAACTGAGACGATTTTTGTACCCAAAAATTCCATTTGTAAAATTCTGACGTCGTACTTCAAAATGTATAATTTAATACTTGTAAATATAGATAATCAAACTAGCGGTACTATAATAAATACAATCAGAATACAATGATTCAGCATCAATGCACATTCCGAAACGATGGATGTTAATATGTTTTACATTCTTTGTTGTTATGTCTGTAAAACTATTACACGAGCGAAGCATGTTAACAGGACCCCTTTCGAGAACGGTGCACAGACGGGCGCACCATAACGTCTAGTTAGACGAATGCCGCAGGTTATACTAGTTGCTAGTTAGACGAGAAATTTAACTATTATAATTAAAATGTTGCTGCAGAATAAAACTGCAGAGACTAAAATCGTAACAAGATTAATATACAACGAATATCGGAATTAATTCTACTAATTGCAAAAATAATCATCAAAATCGGTTTAGAATTAACTAAAATATTGCGTAAAGTAAAAATACTTGAAATTATTATAATGTTGATTTTTATAATTGCTATCCATTTCTCTAAATATCCAAATAAGTTTACAATCTTTCTCATTTATTATGTCAGAGACTAAGGAATAACATGTACATTGTATCATAAAGTACTAATAAAAAATAATTTGGTTTGCTTGATAGTAAACAATGACTGGAAACGGTTAAAACTTTAAGCCTAATTTCGGTTCAAAGTGCTTCTATCAACGTTTTACGGAAACGATTTTAAATACTGGTCCAAAACTAAATAGGGTGCTGAGAGGGAGATATTTCGGTCTTATCCACGTCTCGTTCTGGCCCTTAAATAAAAGTGTCACCCTCGGTATACATTCGCGCCATCGGTTGTTTATCATTTTTTCGATCAGCAGAACCCGCTAGATAACCATGGGGTTAGTTGACAGCTTTCAACCGTAGATTAACTTGGAGCGGCTGTGAACCGAGAAATTTAATAGCTTTTTTGAGGAGCCTTTGGGACCGCTTTGATTTAGTCTCGGCTTAGTCGAACTTTGTTCAGGCAGTTTCTTCCTACTTAGTAAAAAACTTTAAATGCGAATTTCATTAATAGTCATGAAATTAATATTCACCTTTGTGACCTTTATTATCATATTAATCATCGCTATCTTTTTTATCATCATCATTATTATTATAAATTAATATCTTTATCAATTTAGTTTTTAAATTATTAATTGTATTACGAGAAACAAGAAACTCATTAATATTCGTTTGTTTACGAACATTACCTTTATCATACTGTACGAGTAATACAGTGAAGTAAATATTTACTTAAAATATAGCCATTAATAAGCGAACAATAATGTTTTTGATGGTATCTTATGGAGGTTCGATAAAAACGTACAAGTGTGAATGGCGATGATATATGGCCGAATCAATAGGTATTGGTGTCATCGAGCTTTTATGTTGAAAATTTATTCGCGTGACGTACGGCATGAATGGAATAATTTACGGCATATGTTATTTCATCGGGGAATTGCAATTGGCCCAGGCAATTTCGCTCAGTCATTATTTACTCAAGAATTTTATCATGAGTCTACAAATATGTGTATATTGAACTGTTTTTACGTTAGCATTTGGAGTCTTGATTCCAAATTAGTCATTCGAAATTTGTACTTTCCATGCTGAGTAATTACATTTTGTTGGCAATTTGTACTTTTTTTTTTGGTCAATTTCGGTGATTATTTTAAGTATTCGAAATTATTATACTCATAATGAGGCTTTCTTTTTATTTAGTCATATTTTAATAGTTATCGGATACAGTACACCTGTTATTCAAATATTAAGTCAAATTATTGAACGCTAGTTTGAACGAAATGGCATATTACTGTTATTGATATGTCGTAATTATGAATAACAATTATTCTGCCAGAACTTTCGTTTTAACAAATATATACATATACCAATATATTGTTAGTACAATTGGCAGCGAAGAGTTATAAATCAATAAACATGAATTTTACTACTTTATAATTAAAAGTGTCACAAATTTTTATAGGGCAAAATTAAAAATTGATTCAAAATTGGCAATGAAGTTGCGTATCTTTTAATTCGTTTGATAGGCACAGTTGAAGCTAAAATGATCAAATACAATATTATTAACAATTCACCTAATTAAAAACTAATAAATGATAATAAAAAATAAATAGAAAACGTCAATAGTCTATTAATAATTCATGAATTAAGTTCTACAAGTGAAAACAATACGTTGGACGATAATACAGAGGTATTGTTGAATGAAACGGAAACGGTTTTCATCTCTCAGTAAATATTGACAGCAGATCATCCGTTTAATATTGACTGTGGCTGATAAGGTAAATATTAAAGTCGGCAGTTTCATCCATAATTGGATCTGTTAGTCTTGTTTCACAGATATTATTTTCAATTATAATGTCCAAGTTATATAGATATTTGTCAGTTACTCGTAATTTATTGAAACTATATCTATGTATTTATGTTTCTCGTTATTTTATCTAGTAAAAATATTACATCATCTAAGATTCAAAGTAGTTGTTTTAGTATATATACATGAAGAACAGTATTCATTTTATTTATAATCACACATAAATCAAGCCTAGATCCAAAATCATTGAGAAGATATTTTTTAGAAAGTATGTCGAAACAGAATAGGAAGTTTTGAAGAGACGTGGGGATCTTTGCTCAGCAGTAATCATAGGTTAATAATGAGCATATCGAAACAACTTACCTGGTGGACACACGCAGTCTCCATAATCTCTGATACTCCGTCTCGGTCTCCAGTAACTCGGCGGTGGTCGGGCCAACACCTCCCTACGAAGTCTCTCTACAAGAGGCTGCTGAGGCTCGAGAACTGCGCTCCTCAACGCTAAGTGCTGCTCCTCCAACAAAGACAATCTGTCCTGCAGTCCTTGCTGCTTGTACAAACTGTACCCGCTCGAGATGAGGCTCATCGCACACGCACACCACAACACTATGCAGTACGCCCAAGGGTCCCCGGGACATTTGTCTTCGCACCTCTCCCATTTCTTCTTAACTTCTTTTTTCTCTTCTTTTTTTGACTCCTTCTCGGGCTTCGTGCCCGGAGGCGACTTCCCTCCCATTTTTAAAATCATATTCTCTCAATTTCTGCTCTCATGAAGATAATTTTTGAAGGAATGTATACGAACTCGTCTCCATCGTCCCCATCTATGATAATATCGTTAAACCCAACCCAAGTGTGTAGAAAAATACATTGTGACCACAAAATAAATGAACGTAGGTTTTCAAGATACAGCGCAATCAAATATCAAAAAGACCGTAATATGATAAAACACAAACAAAATACACATAGAAAACACAAAATTGTAACAAATCAAAGGGTTTAAGCAAATGAAGAGCTCGGTTCGTGTTAGGATTTTTGGGCGATCTCGTGTTGTTCGTTCGTGCGATCGTGTTTGAATTCGTTGCGTCCGTACGCGGTCGGGTAGGACGTCACGTCTCTTCGGTCGGCGGCACGCCACTGACTGGATTGTCTCGACTCGACTCGATCCTCGTCGCGTAGTTCGTCGGGATCAACTCGCTGCAGCCGCTACGAGACGAGGCGTGCGCTACACGCGACGGCAACTTTGATATGGGCTCCCTTCAAACATTTGGGAGTACTTGTTTAGAGACACTTAGCCCGTATATTAGAATCTTATTGCCCGCCGGCAGTTTTCTCTTAATGGGTAGTGCTACGAAAATGTATGTAGGAAATTAAACTCAAATCGTATTAAACTTGATGATATGATGGATACTTTGAAGTTGGGAATTAATCTTCTAAAATCATATTGCTTCTAAAAATTTGTATAAAATTAATTTACTGCTGTAATGATTATTAAATAGAATTTTAAGAAGCATAGCATGTACATTTAGGAAGTTCCTCCGATAAATGTAAGCATATCAAATATAATTCCCAAATAGAATATAAATTAATGCTTAATGAGTCTCGATAAAAATAATGCCACTTTCAGTTCTTTTTTATTGTTTCTCATGTAAGCCCAAAATATATTTATTTAATACTGCAAGTTGATTTCATACTATTAATTTACATTTGACTACCAAGTACTCTTGTGGAAGATCCATGACATGAATTGAATTTCTACTAAGACTAAATGGTTTGTGGTGAAATATGGAGTATTGGACTAAATACGACAAACTGAGTTAACGAGTTTTAGTAAAACATTTGAATTAAAAGCCGATGATAAATATATACAGAAATATAAAGTGGATGGTCTAACACAATTTGATGTTTACGATATTTTTAATAATAATTTAGAGATCTATTCTAGAGAGGTAATTTTGATATAGTTTGCTATATTTTCCATATTCTATTGTAAAATATTTCTAAAGCTTCATTATACTCGACGTAATTGAGACTATGTGAAATGTGGATAAAAACAGAAGCTCGTTGTAACAAAGACCTAAAGAAAATTTAATTAGATACTGAAACAAATAGAGACGAATAGAACGGTACTATTGAAAAAAAAAATATAGGTATAGACTTTATTTTACGGTATGTGTAAAATAAAAGAAAGGTTAACGTTTTTAAAAATAAAAAAAAAAACCATGCAATTAGCAATCGCAAAAACGTTCCCCGGTCCGGTTTAAATTCACCGCTGGCTATTCCAACTTGGAGAATGCGGCACAAGTCGTGTACATTTATTGATAGCTATGGAAGGTATTAAGGGATGCGTGCAAAAAGCTGCAGGCAAGCGACCGAATTGGGCGCAGCTCGCGTGGAAACCGAGGGGAGTACAGCAATCCAGTTATCCCGGAACCGGGCCCCGGCTGATGAGACACGGTCGATACTAAACTGTGTGATTTAGTGTGCAATGAATGTAAATGATCATATTTGGAGCCGAGCTCCGATGTGGGAGGATGTTTATGTTTTTGATTTGGTATTGGGCGTTGTCAGCCTTTGGTATCGGATGGTGTTAATAGAGTCATAAAGATGCTTTTATTAATTTTGTCGATCTCGATACGTTAGCTCTGTGTGTTTGTCAGTTGTGAAACAAAACTGGTCCAGAATGTGCTGGATATGTATTCGATTTCTTGTAACATTTATAGTTTTTCCGTAAAATTTAAATAAACATGATATACTTTATTTTGTAAACGTTTGAGTCGTGTTTGAGATATAGAGAGGTCTCCTAAAAATAAAATTTCTTAGTCTAAGATCTCGCTGCTGTATTCAGCAGACATTAAACCTTTTTAATGAAACTTGGTTTGAATGGAAGATGAGCAAAAATGTAATATTTTAACGGGTTGTTTACTCTCAATTAGACGCAACCTAAGATTGCCAGGTGAAAATATGTAAAAATGTTGGTAAACTTGGTTATCTCACGATGTTATTTAATAAGATTTACATAAATGCGAATTTATTTTTTTCTTTGCACGATAATGAATGGTTACGTATGAAAAATGATCGCAAGTAAAGATTGTCCGCATCTAAAATTTTATTCTAGACAGTGGTTCTATAATCACAAGGACATTGATTTTTTTGACAAAATTTACACTAAAAAGAAATTTATTCTTTTATTTCTATATTACAACACAGGTTTGTCTTAAATAAAAATGGGTAGAAGTAAAGTTTGCTACTTGGTAACCTGTGGCTAATTAAAAGCAAGCAATCCGTGTGCATTGTATTATATTTACAATCATATTACATTTAAACAAAGTTGCATTAAAAAGTTTTATACATGCAGAATTCAACAGCAGGATCTTAGGCTATCTGTCATTGACGATTACTTTATTCTAAAATATTTTATAAAATGACGCTCGTGTAGAGAATACAATAATGACATAAGTAGTTCAAGTTTAGCATTTAACTTTACATACAGAAATATAAAAAGAGAAAAATCTTGTGAAGAAATAACATCTATAGACGATGGTTCAGTTGGAGCTACCCACAAAACAGATAATATGGAGTTAGTCAAACTTTGATAAAAACTAGTTAGCGACTAGCTGTTCTTTCCACGTAGAATAAGTATTAAAACTAAAGTTCGTTAGACAATTGTGCAAGAAATTCTCAATAGTGTTAAGAGTTATTGAATCAGTAGCAATTTGTAAACAAACTGGTTCAACAAAATAATCTAGTAACATCCTAGTATTGGGAATGGGTTTCTTACAAATATTGTACCTACTGTTAGCGTTGGTGACTTATACTAATTACAGCATTAGTTGCAGTCATCATATCATCCTTTAATTGTCCACTGTTGGACATAAACCTCTGGGTTGCTATTAGTTACCACGCTTGGCAGGCGAGTTGGCAATCGCAATTCGGCTTTGGAGATGTTTTAAGGGAAATACTGCTGCCCATCCCTCGCCCTCCCTTAGTCGCCTCTTTCGACATCCACGGAAAATTAAGGGGTAGCCTGTTCTATGCCGGGACCACACGGCGTTCCAGTACTCTTCTTTAATTTATTGATTGAAGAAACAACAAGTTATATCCAAAGGTTACCTGGAAGAGATCGCTTTTAACGATAAGGCTGCCCATTGTTTTCTTACTGTGATTATTTCTTGTAATTGTTTGTATCTATAATAAGATTACTATTGTAATCTTTTAGAGGAAACAACAAAGAGTATCTATATTGATAAAGATGTCTAGTTCATAATAATGTATGACTATCTAATGCCTTTACTTGTAAATACAATATAAATAGTATAATATAAATGGTATCTATTCAATGACTTTTACATTAAAGTGATTAATAACAAGTCTTAAGAAACAATCAAGTAACATACGTAGTTTTGTTGTTGTGTTCCGTACCAATAACATTATTATTATTTTATTTAAATGAGATATTTGCTTTATTGATACATAAATTATGTTAATAGGTAGGTAAAACCTCTCCGAAATTATCTGATTTCCTGAGAACCTCTGTCTACTCGTTATCAGATATTTAGGTATCATTTATCACATACCTGTTAGGATCGTTTCGTAATACCTGAGGGGAGATAATGGTTCAGTTACCTAACAAGATTTTATTCATATTTTGTCTCCATGAACTCGCAATTGGAAATTTGTCCAAATACTTTAGTTACAGTACTATACTTGTTTTTTTACTTTATACTTTATATGCCTATATAGTAAGGTCGCTTCTCGCCATTTGTATACTTAGATCTTTACGCATTTTAGAACGGATTTTAATACGGCTTTTATTAATAGATAGAGTGAACCAAGAGGAATGTTTATACGTATAGTTTAATCTTGATTTGTACTAATTTGTTGAAATATGATGATAATTGTTCAAGATGTCGGAAGATATCAAACAGATTGAGAGTTTTCATCGAAAACGCTGCCTAGTCATAATATTTGCGCTTTTATTTCATCGTGCTTTCAATCAAACTGTTTATAACTACTCTTCTCTATCCAAAGGTTGCCTGGAAGAGATCACTATCAGCGTTTAGACTGTCCATTGTTTTTTCAATGTGATAATTTTTTGTAATTCTTTGTATCTATAATAAGTTTACTTCTGTAATATTTTGGAGGAAATAATAAAGAGCATCTATCTATAGATAGATACGTCTAGTCCGTTTGAAATATTACAAAACGATGTATGGTGAGATTGTTCTCTTTTTATAGGTTTACAAAAAAGTCTGCAAAGGTATATGTCTATCTTTTAAGGATAGCTTACTATACCCATTTAATTTATATTCGACGCAAAAATGTAATGTAAAAAATGTAAGCAATATATGCCTTACATTTTTTGCTCTTCCATCCGTGCGAATCCGGAGCGAGCCGCTAGTATAGCAAAAATACATAATATGAAATATAAGTAACTGTTACTTTTGTTTTATATTACTATAAAATAACCATAATCATAATGTTATTATCAAGACTATATTTAAATCAACGTTTTTGTATGTAATCTTGAATAATTATGATTCAAATTGTATGTTTTCATACAGAAAATCACGCCAAAATTTAAAATATTAGTTGATTTATGGTATTCGGTGCATTTAGAATTATTTGTAAAGAAGTATCTAGATAAATATAATAATTATTAAAATAAATCAGTTTCTCTTAATTCACTGCGGAGCACCAGAAACAAAATAATTGACAAAGCAACTTAACCTTTGGGCTGAAGCACCGACTCGGTTAAAGATCTGTATCGACATTAATTAAATTTGTATAGAATGAAAAAAAAAAGGGAGATGTTTTTTACTCCATAGACCCTATTAATCTCTTTAATAGAGTCATTAAAAACGGAGTGGCAGCCTCAAGCGCCGCTTCAACAAAAAACTCAGCCACTCCAACGCACATTATGGTTAATGTAATAAACTATTCATAATAAAATTGTATGATAAACCCCATGCTGACGTCACATGCATACCGATCTAAGTCTGTAATGTCACTTGTTATCAATGCACGCCCGATCTAAATGGTCATTTCAAATTTTTATTTATATCATTTACTACACTGTACTTGTTACGAACTCTTAATTGGAATCGAAGAGTTGGGAACAAAGATTCTGATACATGATAAGTCACTATTAAAGTATCTCGAATAATAAAAAAATATATTTTTGAACCAATTATTTTAAATATTATTGAATCTAGAATACCTAATATCATAAAATTCTGTAATTCGATTAAAT